GGGGGGGGTGGGGGGAAGGGGGGAGGCAAAGGGCAGGAGCAGCACAGCAGTGCTGAGACAGCCAAATAAAAGTGCCAGCGCTTGATAGCCTCCCAGACAAATCTGTCAGGATCACCTGTCAAAAGCTCCAAGACCTACCAGTAGATCCCGATCTACTGGTTGGTGACCACTGCATTACACAATATTTTAGATGATTGGAAGCTAGTTAAGAATTCTATTTTTATTTAAAATTAGAATTCTAAACAAGCTAGCTATAATGAAAGTGATATTATCTTATGTTCAATTTCACATTCTCTAGCAGTCATCTTAAGTTTGTCACATTAAAGTTTTTACCACTTGTGGTTCTGTACTCATGTGCCATTGACTTTGCTCCAAATACAGCATCAAAATCCACATTAATTAAGGAAGAGGAGGTGCTCTGAGGAGCTGAATGAAGAGGAAATCCTAAAATATAAATTTAAAAATAATTAGATACAGTAAAAACATCATGGGTTCATTAGTACAGTCTAACGAACCCAGAAAGCTAAAAAAGGTACCATGAATTACCAAAGGAGAACACATGAGTGTACATAGGCTTATTACCACTAAAATCATCTTCATGCAAAAAGAAAAGAAATGTAGATTGGAGTGTGAGAAGAGAACAACAAAAACCCTGAAAGACAGATCTGTGGTAACAATTAAAAAATGTGTTTCATTAATAAAAAGGAAGAATCCACTATCCACTAGGGCAGTGGTCCCCAACCCAGTGCCCGCGGGCGCCATGGAGCCCACTGGGGCATTTGTGCGCGCCTGCAGACAACCTGGGCCGGCCAGACCCTGGCGCGCGGGAGGTGCTGGCCCCAAGCACACGACATGCACCAGCACCGGGTTCGCGGCGCTCGGGCGGCTCTAGCCCCGGAGCACATGTGGGCGCACAGCGCCGGTGCCGGCCCCAGGCACGTGGCTCGGGCGGCGGCGCCGGCCCCGGGCCCACAGCACAAGGCGCTTGGGTGGCGCCGGGTGCAAGGGCATCCCCGTCCCCTGGCATGCCCCTGGCGCGTGAGTGGCCTCACCCCCCAGGCGCCCGGCACGTGAGTGGCCCCACCCACCCAGGCGCCTCTAAAGATTGGGGACCACTGCGCTAGGGATATGAAAGGTTAACTGGTTAGCTATACCTGTAATAAGAGAGGTTTACTAGTTCTGGTTAACCAGTAACCTGTGGGGGCTGGAGCAGCTGCACAGGAGGCACGCTGAGGACAGGGGTTGTTCCAGTGTCTGGAGCAGCCTCTCTCTATGCGGAGCCCGGCCTGCGGGGCTGCAAGCCTACAGCAGTCCCAGTCCCCATGTGCAGGCTAGGAACTGGCAGCCAGCCCCAGCATGAGGCTGGGATGATCCTCTGTCCAGATCCCACTGGTTAAATGTTAGGTTTACTGGTTAACCAGGATTTTACATCCCTAGTATCCACCAAATACAGAATTAATCTGGAAACCTCAATTAACACTTTCATTTCTCAATTTTAAAGAAGGTGTCTCCTTGGACATAACGTAGTAAAAATAACAATGAATTCAGAAATGTTTCGATATTTGACATCATGTAGAGAAACAAAAATGAACCAGATTCCTTCAGATCTGGACATGTAATCAACATTTAAAAGTGAATATCTACTTTTCAGATGAGATTTGAAATTACAATTATCGTGTTGAAATCTGGCAATTCAAAATAGCTTTTAATATTATAATGGATTGGAAACATACAAAGAGTTACACAACCCAGTTTGCTATCACTGTTATCTCCACTTGGAAACAAATTAGAGAATGTTTTACCACTAAACTGTTCCACTGTTTGTTTGGAGGTAAAGGTGGAAGAGACGAAAGGGATAGTAGATTTTACTGCTTCTTCAACTGGCTTCATGTCAAAGATGTCCAGATGGGGTGGAGAACCAACACAACCATTTGAAGATGAGAAAGGACCTTTCAGATACAGCAGTAGGTAATAAGAAAGAAAGAAAGAAAAGAATCTAGATTTCAAATACCACATAGAAAAGCACAGAAATTGTGCACATCGCAGTATGAAAGTTCCTAGAACCAGGGTTAAGCACATTTATTTGAAATATATTGCTAGCTTTAAGTTTTCCCCCACTGTTCTGCCCAACTCAGACAGTTTTACTGAAACTCATACCAGTCTTCCATTCTGATGTTTCTCATGTTCTTTTTCCTAATAGAACAGTGACATTTACTCACTTGGGAAAACGAATTTCCAAGAATGCATTACCTATGTAGATATGTTCCTGATCTCCAACTTTGGCAAATGGCACTGGGATCATTTGCAGCTCCACTGGTTAATATACTGCCAGTTTTGATGGAAACATTTCCTTATTTAAGTGTTTATTAAAAACTGCATCTTGTTAGTTAAGTTCTTCCCTCAGGTAATAAAATTCAAGGGCAGTAATGAATGTGCAAACTGAAGTAACTAAAGTTAATGCAAGAATTGTGTCCATAAGGAAGCTGACAATAGTGTTGGCACCTGATCTCCCACTAGTGGAGATGGCACGAAATTCAGCTTAAGGTATATCAACTCCAGATATGTTATTTATGTAGCTGGAGTTACATACTTTAAGCCAACCTTCTGGGTCTAATATAGATCAGGCCTTGGATGATCAGTTTAATGTCTTACCAAGGTAACTAGTAATACTTGGATTTTCTGGTAGTTAATTGAACATACTGAAACAAAAATTCATATTAAGTAAGTTGTAATACAATGACAACTGAATAATTCTCAGATGCCAAGAATATTACTATATTGGTTTAAACAATAGATAACTTACCTCCCCAAGCACTGCTTGCTGATGTTGCTATAGCTGGAGTACTCTGTACAGTTGGAACAAATGCAGGCTGAAGATCAAAGAGATCACTGGAAAGGTTAGGCATGCTGAAAATAGAAAAAAAGCTACACAAGTTAATAATTAAGCCACATTTGGTCTGTTATCCCGTTGAAATTTCCTGAGCAGATTAAGCAAGAATGGAGTTTGGTTTTTAAGTGTCTGCATGCACCTCTCAACTCCTAGAAATACCATACAGCTAAAAGTATATCCAATATTTATGTAATGCAATTTTTGTTGTATGTGGTTTGCACTAAATTATTTTGTTTGCTATAGCCAACAAGATTCAGTTTTATTTTACTGGACTATTAGAATTACACAGCAAATACATGTTAAAGTTTAAATTTTTGGCAGTCATAGTGAAGGCCAAGAATGGTGCTACAGAACTGTTTTTTTTTTAATTAAGTTTTTAGTTTGGTAACTAGCCTAATGCCAAAAAAAAAAAAAAAATTTTTTTCAACCAGCCACAAGATTATTCTGACTCTTGAGAAATTTCATAGAATATATTATCTATGGTTTTCAGTTATCCAGACAATTCACCAATGCAGTGTATTACACTTGGATTAGGTAGAAAAGTGTCCCTCACCTACTAGTTGTAGGTGCTGGTGCTGCGAAGAGGTCAACAGCTGTAGTAGTATTCACACTTTTCCCTGACAAGGTGCTTGGAGATGCTGATGTAGAAGTGGAATTTGATACCACAGAAATCTCTTTTAACCGCTGCTCCTGAAAGATTAAGAGAGACATACTAATTTAACTTATGAATTTTCAAAAGCATTACTTTTTTAGAAGGATTCTTAGTAATAAAAGGTTGATAGGTTTTAATCACAATTTCTGTTATGACACCCAAGAGACTAACATATACCTAGCTGAAATATTAAGGGAAAGTGGAAATGTTTCTATTAGAACAGAAGCACAAATTAAGTTGAAACAACATCAAGAGTGACAAAAACCAATGTCAATATGTTTAGTTTTCACGCTAGTATGGGATACTTGGCTAATGCTGTTGGTCCCGAACTACATATTTATGGTCTACTGTGAGATGCATTTATATAGCACCTATGCCTCCAGGATAGGTATGTGCATTATATTGTTCAGATTACAAATTTGTAAAGTTAGTAATGTTCCTCAGGAGAAGTTAGTTCATTTTATTTAACAAGACAGATGGAAAATTTTGTCAGTAAAAAATAAAAACATTGTGGTCCAGGCCCACCAAATAGCCAAAGCTACACAGGGATGTATCTTTATAATCTATCATGTAGGGTGGGGACAAATTATGAATGCATATTTCTAAAATCTTGTTTGCACTACACACGTTTCTGATTACCATTTACTTATAAGTTTTTATAATGCTCTTCATCACTGTTGAATTTTACAGCGTTCTATACAGCGAAGTTCCTAGCAGACTTCATGGAGTCTTCCCTTCCTTCCTTTTCCTAACAGCTCTGCTCGGGTGCACGCACTTCTTTAAAATCTTATTTAAGTACTGTAAATGAAATCTTTCCTATGCATGTCCATGGGCATTTTGAAAAATAAAGACAAAACTATTTGCAAATAAACACAAGTTGATAGTGCTAGGAAAGCTTTGCATACTAAAAGGCAACTTCTAGTAAAACTGTATGTGTCTTTAATTAAAATCTCTGTGCCATATCATTTAACCCGCTCCTCCCCATCTAAAAGGCAATCTAGCCCAGTTAGCCAACAAATAAGCCTAGATTTCAAACACAGCAAATCAGCTCAGAGTCCTATCAAACTTGATGGCAAAATCCAAGAACAAAATGTGCTCCTTTTCACTCCCGAAGGTTAAACAAACAGAAATGTCCCAAACATTGCCTACCTCGCTTAGTCTCACCAACCACATGTCTATGCTAGCCATCTCTCTTTGCGTTACATCACATTCTCCAGATGGAGCTGCTACCAAAGTAAGATTTAAGGACTAATGTCGAGTTCTCCAACAATAGCGTGATGTTGCCATGGAGGCATTCAAGCAAGTAGTAAAGGGCAAATAAAGTCTTTAAAGGAACCAAAAGGGAGAGGAGGGAAAATGTTTTTAAAAGCTCATTATTCTGAGGTCACTTCTTTTTCAAAACTTTAATTTAGAAAGACTATAGATGTGCCCTGAGATTGAAAATAAACTGTGCGGCAAGATTAACACTTTCCCCTTTCTGGAAAAAAAAGCTTCATGGTCAGTGGAGTTAATTAGTGTCCTATACATACTGGAGCATGACATGGCTGCTGTCCCATGAGGACAGGGATCTATTTCCTCAAGCCATACTAGCTAAACCATCCTAAATAATGCAGAATACTCCAAGGAAAATCGCCTTATCTAGTGATAGGACTGAGCTCACAGTTGTGACACTTACAAGTTCAACTGTAGCATGTTGACAGAACCTATAATTCACATAAAATTACTGTCTTCTCACAGAGCTGTATTACAAAAAAGTGTGACATGTATTCTGACAAAATGTGAGCCCAATCTATTTTTGAAGTATAGGTGAATAAAGTGTTCAGATGTTAGTTATCCAATTATGCAACTGCTATAAGAGCCACCATTTAATGGAATCTGCCATGGTTGCATATTTAGGGGAAATCCTGGTCCCACTGAAGTTAGTGGACGTTATCCCACTGACTTCAATGGGGCCAGGATTCCACAAAATATTTAAGCATCAGGACCTGGAACACCAATCCTTAAAAGATAAAATACCTTAAGTGCTTGCAGTCTAGCTTGCTCTTCCTCCAAAGCTTGCTGTTTCTCTCTCTCATCCATTTTGCTAAATGACATTCCTGTGTTGGCAAGTGTAGAAACAGCACTGGAGAGGGTGCTTGCTCTAAAAAAGTTTCAAGAGAAAAATTGGTTTTTAATTGTGACCTTTCATTTGCATCTAAAAAAAAATCACCTATAAAGTGCTTTGGAGAAAGTATGCTATTTGCCTCTGGACTCACCACTAAATACAATCATTTTTGGTGAGAAAAAACAGCAACCGCATAACACTGTACGTTTTGGGACAAGGGTATAGAAAAGTCCAAGTGCAGAATGAATTGTTCTTCCATGATTATAGATCTGATACCTCTTCAGCAAAAACTAAGTACAGAATTTTCTATAGATTGTGGTTTTGTCACACAATTTATCTGCTGTAAATGATATTTTAAATAAGTTAAACAAAATTCCAAATGGCATGTTTAAACAGATGTGTAAATATTTTATACTGACTTGGAGAAACGGCCCTTTAAAATCTGTAAGGGTCTCTAGCTCACACATGCACACCCAGCAAGGTTCCCTCTAAGCTGTGTGGCAGCAGTGTCCAGCATCTGCTTTATCAACTCCACTCAGTGAGGCAGCTCAAAGCCCTGAGCCCCTAGCTGGGCAGGGCTGATTAAGCAGCTGCAGGGCTCTGCTGTGGTACAGTTTTGAGGGAACTTTAATGCAAACACACATGCTTTACCACATACAGCCAAATCCTCCCGGCTACTGGTGAAAATCCAAGGTAAGGGACTCAAGTGGTAACTGCTGCATTGCAGCAGTTAGGTTTTCTGCAAAATATGCACATCCATGTTGACTATCGCAAAAAGAGGTATGCCAAAAAGGGTGTTTTCTCCCATCATAAATACTGATTGTGCATATGTATTGCATCTTTTGGTGAAGGAACCAGAACTATATCCATCTTTTCCTCACCTCATCGTTCGAGTGGCAATTCATTTTTCAGTTGAAAAAATCCTATCCAAAAAATAACATGTTGGGGAGGACTCAAATGAGGACAGGAGTGTGAAACACCTTAACATGCCCCCTTTTGGGGAGGAGGGAGACTCATACAGTACAGCCATTCAAAATTCCATTAGTATGATTTTTCAGCCATATATGTGGCAAGTATGGCTTGCCTATCAGGGCAGCAAAAGCAACATGGCATTCCTAAGAGACTGTCCAATGAAGCCTGGTGATTAGCACAGTAGAATTTAGTTAGCATACCAAAAATATCATGAAGTCATATGCAAGCAGTATCTGTTATAGAAAGCTGAAGCTTCTTGATAACTGAACAGGACTTGAAACGGTGTTCAGCAAAGGATTTCCATCTTTAACCCACGTGTGACGGGCCGTCACTTAACTGCAGGGAGGACAGCCGGGGCCACCAAATGCCGGGAAACGGCAGCCAGCCCCGAGCCCTCCCCTACAGCCTCGGCACGGGCGGGGGGAGCTGGCGGGGCCACGCGCTCCTACCGCGCCTACAGCGGCGGGGGGTCATGGGCAAGGGGGAAGCAAGGTGGATGCGCGGTGTGGGAGGACGCTGGCGCGCTGCCGGAAGGGGAGGGGCCCCGGGTAGCAGCCGGCACGGCAGGCCAGTTCAAAAAAGCTCGCCGCCGGCAAAGGAGGGGGCAGCCTCCTCCCAGGAGAGGTGGAAAGGCCCCACAACGAGGACGGACCCTGAGCAGCACTGAGGCCTGCCGTCGGCCCGGCCTCAGCCCCGGGATAGCCACCGCGGCTGGCGGTCGGTCAGCCCCGGCTCCGACAGCGACTGGGCTCCCCCCCGCCGAGCCTGGAGGGAGCAGACCCAGCCAGGGGAGCGAACCCAGCCAAGGGAGCGAACCCCAGAGACCTCGCCCAGACGACCCAGGACCCGAACCGCTGAACCAGGGTAGGTCCTGGGGGTTGGGGCTGCGGCCCCAAAGGACTAGGGAAGGGAGGAAGGAGCCCGGGGCGGAATGCTTTTGGCGGGCTGTGGTACACGGGGTCACGCCCGGATGGGGCACCGCGTTGGGGCACGAGCAAGCCCCGACACTTAGGGCCCCGGGCTGGGACCCGGAGAGAGGGCGGGACCGGGTTCCCCTCCCTCCCCCGAAAGAGCATTCGGTTCTGCACAACTGGAGCTTAAAACGCACAGACAAACTAGGACCCCTCGCCAGGGAGAGCTTAGACTGGGGGCTCAGGCCCCATCCCACAGGGACGGGTGACAATTGACGGGTCGGCTCATCCCCCCTTCCATCTAGGAGGGGGTGATCGCACACCAAGGGCCCGGGCTCCTCAGCGGGGGCCCGGGGCACGAGGAAGCCGGGAAGAGGGCCAAGGGGTCCGCAGAGCCCCCCTCCCATGTCAGGAGGGGGTGATCGCACCCCGAACCCTTCACACCATGCTATGAACAATCTTTAAAAACGAATAGTTGAGCTCTTCAATTTCCAGCAGACTATGATTCTAATGGTATGTTTACACTATAGCAGTGAGTCACAATCTAAGGTATGCAACTCCAGCTACGAGAACAACATAGCTGAAGTCAACGTATCTTAGGTCAAGTTACCGCTGAGTGTACCCAGAGAGGTCGATAGGTAAGTCGACAGGAGAGTTTCTCCCTACTTTTCTTGTTGGGGGTAGAGTACAGGGGTGGGCTAAAGAGCTATCTGTGTCGATTTAGCAGGTCTTCACTAGACCCGCTAAACTGACTGCCAGTGCATCTGCTGTAGTGCACATGTAGCCTGAGTTTGTACATCATGCTCTCGACCACCACAACACTATGTGAGCAAGTGGAACCATGATACCTGGTTTCTGAGTTCAGATACAGTAATGTGAATACTCATAGGAAAGCTATGTTAGGTGCATTCAGGCAAGATTAATTAAGCAGCTAAATTCTGCAATTTGACAAATCAGATCCAAAGCACAAATAGAGTGCCATATGCAGTTCAGATGTGCCTGCTGGTTGAAGTCTACCAAATGCTGTGAGAACATAGGACATGGAACACCTTCATAGCCTAACAACATACAAGGCACAGAAGGTTCTGAAGTAACATGAGCTACCTTGCCTTCATGCACAGATACACAGGCAGTAGTAAGAATGGCTTACATACATCTGACAGGAGAAATCTGGCTATAAAAGTGACCATATTCCTGCACTCCCACAGTACAGGGTGAACCTCTCTAGTTTGGCACCCTTGGGATCCGACTGGTGCTGAACCAGAAAATTTGTCAAACCATGGGAGGTCAGTATTGTTTAGCAACTTTACCAACACTTCCACTGTTTACTGAGCTCTTAAAAGACATTTAAGGGTAAATGAGAATTAAAAAACAGCACAAAACATTGAGAATCAGGACTGATGGCTGAAAACAAACTTTATAGGACCATGAAAAACTTGGGTACACCCATGGTAAGGGGATACCCAGCTAACTAAAAGTCACACTGGACTGTGGATGTTGCCGGATCAGAGTGCGCCGGCCTAGAGTGGTTCAAACTGTAAGAGTGAGAGAGGAGAGAGTTTCCATAAAAGCTTTCCCATTGCTATACATCCATCTTCTATGGCTTCTGTGACTCAACACATCTCTTCATTTAAAATCAATGTAACTGTTGTAAAAGTAACATCAGTGACAGGCCAACAGTGCCTAGTTTATCTTCAACAGATTTGGTCTAGCTTTAATTTACAGTTCTAATAACCTGCTGCTTAGACTGGGTAGTCAAGTGCATGACAATGTCCTTACATTTTTTAATCATGAGGAATACTGTATAGTAGTACTGCCAGATCTGGAAGAAATTTTATCCAATACTCAGCCAAAAGTACAATAATTGTGATATCATGAATAAATATTACTTATCATTCTGCATGCTTAAAGCACTGCACAACTATTAGATCGTTACAATACCCTATAAGGTACGACTGCTAATTTTGCCAAGTTGCAAAGTAATTTGTTCAACATTATGGAGCTAGCCAGTGGCAAAATTTGAATTTAAAAAGAGCTCAGGACATCTTGATTCCCATTCTCTCCAAATTCAAGAGAAAGAAGGAAGGAAACCAATAGATTTAAGAGATATTACAGATCAAATAAGGAAGATTCCTTACCTGTATTTATAATCCCTTAAAGACTGAAATTAAAAATCTTTACAACACTGATTTTGTAGTCTTCGTTTTAACATTTATTTTTGTTCTTCATTCATTATGAACAATTGAAACAGAATAATCTGTTTCTGATTCTGAACACTAGCAATTCTACAGGGTTTCTGCTGCAAACACGGAGGAGGAATATTCAAAACTAAGCTTTTTTTTTTTTTTTTTTTTTTAACTGAAAAATCTCATAAGATTTCTATACAAACTCCTACATGGAACTCCTTAGGATACTAGGAAATATTTCACCCTTCACCCTAAGTTTCTATGAAGAAGTTTTCAGTGACAAGCAAAAGAAAGAGTGGTAAGTTCTTAGAGCATGTTGCACAACTTGCAGCTTGTGGGCCCCATGAGGCTCAAGTACTGCTAAAGTTCAATCGGCACACCTTGCAAATTTTATGTAGTTTAGCTAATTGCACTTGCATACCTATCCCAGTAGACTGTTTTGGTTATGACAATCACAATAATGCCACAAGACAGCAAAATAAGGTGATACAGTTATCCATATTTCAGGGTGCAAATTAACCATATTGTGTAAATTCTAACACAACTGACAGAATACAAGTTCTTCTGAAGACTGATATCATGCATTCCAGATAGTAAGTGCTAAAGACATATGTTCACTTTAAAAGCCAGTTTAATTCTCATGACTTGTCAGACTACCTTAACAGTTAACAGGGTAAAAATATTTAGAGGAAAGCTACTACATGAGGCCTCAGCTCTGCACTTTGCTACTACAGTTGTATATTAAAACACAGTTTAATAAGGAGTTTGACACAAAGATAAGCATACAAGTGAAGTCCTGAGTTCTTAGCGTTAGATAAGAACATTTAAAGCACATTGAAGTGATAGCCTCTACTAACAGAATAACTTAATAAAATGTTAGTCCATGCTTCCTACACTTAAGAGTAGGAAACAGATCTTCCCAGAAGCAAGTATAAGGGAAGAGTATCCCAAGGAAACAAACTTACTGATGCCCAAAACTCTTCAATATAAAGAGAATTACAATTTTAAGACAGCCTTGTGATCCATTTGATGCTTACCTGCTGGCAGCTGAGACTTCTTTAGTTTTTTTCCCCTCTAGAGAAGCCAAATGCTGTTCCAATGCTTCAAGCAAGCTGCTGGGTGCCTAAAGTTAAAGTGCTCATAAAACATCCACTTGATAACAATGCATCACCATCTTGTGACATATTAATTCATCCATCCACAAACAAAACAATTATGCATTTTAAGGTCAGACACTTGAATTCAGTTTGCAAGATTCATTTTTACAATACCCCTTCCACAGAAAAGCATGCAAACAATCATTAAATGCTGGTCTATGAAACAAACTCCCCCAAATTGAGCACGTTTAGAAGCAAAAACTGGAATTTTATGACAACAGGAAATTAGCTGTGCTAACATTTTAGTAAAAAGGCAGGTGAGTTCATTATAATCAGCTCTAATTAGCACATTCCAAAACTGTGAAAGTGCTTACAGAAAGTGTTAATTCTCTAGCTACAGTATCAAAAAAAAAGTCAGGATATATTTTCATTTGTTTGAAATCCCTGAACAAATTTAAATCAGATGATAAATCCTTACAGCCAAAAGCCCACAGAGTAAGCAAACACAATTATCTCAGTACAACGGGGAAACTACCTTTCTAAAAATGAAGTATGATCCACATAACCAGTTTACTGGAAGCAACAAAACAGTTTTACTGCAGTCACACCAACATAGAATATTAATTGCTATTCCTCTACCACTGTTCATATTTTATGGCAAGCTAACATTTCCTCCCCTCTTTTCTCAGATCCATCAGTGAACTACATCAACCCATGAAACCAGCAGCTGTTATAATCTAGACATTAAAACTGACAATATGGTTATAATTCTTGGTCAGGAAAAAAGTGTTATACGTGAAATGTTCTTAATTTTCAGGCAGACTTCTCCAGCTTTCTAGTATTCCTAGCAAAAGGCTAGGTTTTAAAACGTCATACTACAGACTTTTAAAAAACTGAAACAGCTCAACAGACATCAGTAAATGTGTTTACAATACTGCAAATAAATTTACAAAGTTTTTCTATATCTGGAAACCTTAATCTCTGAAGTGCTTAATACTGAGTGAATGAGGCATCTGAACTGCCAAGTGGACGAACAGAAATTAGCAGCTAATAAATTAGAATAAACAAACCACACCAGTGCTAATATAGTTCTTAGTAAGACATAGGAAAGAGTAGTCAACCCACTTAGAGGGATTGTCTACCTGGGCAAAAATAGGTGCCTTTTTACTTGAAATTAGTTTAGCTCAATTGAAATTTCCCCTCAACACTGACTGGCACCGAGTTCAGCACCTTAACAATATTTCAGATTATCCTGCTTGTGGCTATGTAAGAACCTAGCTTTTTTCAATAGTTCCATGAAAATAAACTTGTCTTTAAAGGCAAGAGATGCTAATCTGGCTTTGGAGAATTTTCTCTTCACTGTTTTACACATGGGACTCTGCTATCAATGCAGCCATGGCTCCATAAATTGAGTGAATTATAATAGACATGATGGACTCTCACGAGCAAGTCCCAGAAATGGGAGTTCCTTGGTTAGTTACAAGTCCTCATCTTTAGTCTCTAGAGATCTAATGGTCACTTTGACAGCTGCCTGTGAGTTACATCCCAATAAACTGAGAACTAACAAGTGTAAAAATTAACAGAAGACAGATAAACTTGTGTGTCAGCCCACTTAGACCAGGAAAAAGAAATAAGCTATTTCAAGAAATCCAGATTTCTAAAATAGTTTTAATACAATCTATTGTTATTGTAGAAAACAGGTTTTACTTATGTTAGCTGAACATGATTTTTAAAGACTTAGCCAATAATCTAACCTTTTGTAGATCACAAGTCATTATGCTATGTTTTTCAGAAAAATAAGAATCACAATGACGAATCATTTTGATACAGGACAAATAAGATTAACTCAGAAAAAAATAATATTGAAAGTTTGGAAGAATGTACAATACAATTATGGAAAAAAGTTTGCTGGAATGGTAGCAAGATTAAAAGTATTTTTTCTGCTGCAACTGTTTCTTGAAGGGGACATACTAACAATGAACATACAACTGGTTAAAAGAAAATTTTTGAAAAGGCAAGCAAGTGCTGAGGAACACCCAGACTGAACTATTCTCTTTGGGACAACAGATGAACCAATGAAACTAAGACCATTATGAGTACATTGGTGGGGGTAGGGGGAAGGAGTAGCAATCCTTTAGTCTCATCCAAGAGAGAGTACAGCCATTACAAATAAGATCTACAAGCTACTTGTGGAAACAGCCTAAAGCAAAATGTGTGTTGGAATATCTGATACTGGGAGAAAAAGTCACTTTGCACTTCCAAAATATACTGGAGCAAGAATACTCTATTTTTCTGCCAAAGTGGTGTCTTAGCAAGAGTGAAAGGTATAGTGTATAGGCAGAAGTAGAAAAGGAGAGCCATTACATAAAATATCCCATTAAACTACAAGAAGAAAATTGTAAGAGATGACAACACAGAACATGGGGTAGGATTCTTGCTTCCTTAACAGATACATGATCAAGCTGGAGTGTCACTGCAGATCAGGCAGGCAAAGTTTGCTAGAAAAATAGGTGAGTTCAGCTTCCAAAATATATATGGTTTAAAGTTCCATATGGACATTGCTTAAAAATAACCAGTTGTGCCTCTCAGAACAACAAATATGGTCAACAGTAAGTATAAGTGCTTCAGCCAAAAACATTAAATATCATAAAGTGATAGAGCAGAACTTCAGTGGATGCATAGATTAAGGGCCAAATTTTCATCTCAGCCTAACTACAAGATTTTTATTAGTGCAAATATAAATATAACAATACCCTCAAAACCAAGGATTTAAGTGATATACATTTGGAATGAGCAAAAATGAAAGCTAGGTTTTGAAAGTCTGGTTTTAAAGCTTAAGTACATGTAAACAAATAGCCAAAAATGACTTCAAATATATTATTCAAGTTTACTGCAGTGTCCACGAATTTACTAGGGAATGAGGGTAACTATCAGAGACAAAGGTATCAGATGAGGTGCTGAAGCAGACAAAAAACGAATACACATCACGAGAACTATATGATGGTCACCTGCGAGTTCTAAATAAGTGAACTAGCAAGATACTAGAAAGCTATGATTTAACAGTAGCTGTCCTTTGAAAAGCTTAAGTATGGACAATACTTTGTCATTTTTGGAAGGAATTCATCTAGAAGAGGGGGAGAGTGATAATGGAACAAAATTAGTTTATGACCATTTATTCGGGTTAGTTAAGACTAGAGAAGTCTGAAGAACACTGGACTACTTAACGGAACAAATGATGACAATTACAAGATACAAGTGTTGCATGGAACAAATTTTTCTATCACTAGATTTTTAGTCTAAAACTTAATAAAATGGATTTGAGCATTGTTGCAGAAAACCCACTAAAAATATGTTTTGAACATGCAAAGACAAGCCAAAGACATTTCTTAAGATAGTAGGGTATTAAGAAGTGAATAGAGTGTATACAGAAAATAATGCTACTACAGGCAGTCCCCGGGTTACGAACAAGATAGGGACTGTAGGTTTGTTCTTAAGTTGAATCTGTATGTAAGTCGGAACTGGCGTCCAGATTCAGCCGCTGCTGAAACTGACCGCCAGTT